AAGTCACTCCTCCAGCCTTCTTCCCGAATTCCTGAAGGAGTTTTGGAGCAACTCCACCCACGTACCCAAGATGGTGTTTCTTTCCGTGATGGGACGCGCACGAGCCGTCGATGCTAAGAACAAAGTCAGTTTGACGTTGAGATGGATGGATGGATGGGTCCTTTCTGAGCATATCCCGAGGGAGGGAGGGAGTCAGGAGGGAGGGATGTAGGAATGTAGGGAGGGAGGGAGGGAGGGCGGGAGGGAGAGCGGGGGTCAGGGAGGAACTTCGGAACGTTTCTTAGGAGGCTTGTTCTGCCCGACAAATTCTCTCATGAAGTTGCCTGTAGGCAACTGAAGGGGTAGGGGTAGTAATTATATAGTGGGGATTCCAATGAAATCGTGTTTGATACCATGGTAGGGGTATTTCAGCAAAGGGTGGGGGTAGTTGTAGGTGGATCCGATGGCGGGTTTCATCAAGGTAAGGGGAGGGAGGAGGGAGCGAGGGCGGGGGAGGGAGGGGAAGGCGAAGTGTGTGAGAGAAGAGAAGACGAGCAGCTTCGATGAGCTCATGCTGCATCACATGCAGATGTACAGGGCTGCCATCGACTGGTTCAGGGCCGCCATGGACTGGTTCCGCGAGAACCGGATGCTTCTTGTCCTACTTGCGATCCTTGCCGACACTTGCCGCTGATGTCCTGTGCATCAGGCGATTATCTTCTTCATCATGGATGCTCTCGTTAGCATCATCATCACTACCAAGAGCAGATGTGAGCTTGCCATGTCGTCCCTTGCTCATGTGACGGAGATTCGTTCAACCAAGATACGGAGATTGATTGGAAAGCGTACATGCAGGAAGTTCAGGGGGTAAGGCGAGAGCAGCGGCAAAGACCACGTTGACTTTTCCCACAGGTCATAAAGGGACAGTACGACTACGCCAAGTCAGCAGCTTCTTCCTTTCCTATCAGCAATCCTCCTCACCAGGTCCAACAGGCTTCGTGGAGGTACAGGCCCCCTGGTGTACCCTGCAGGATTCGTGAGAGCTCTCTACCCGCCTCCTCTTGATGATGATGACTGGGACCAGGTCTGGATCTTCTCAATCTTCTGGTACATCTGCGATAGAGGAGCGAACATCGCAAAGGCGCAGTGGATCTTCTACGGCATCTACCTCCTCACCCTGGTGAGCAAGCTGTTGCCCGATCCTGCAGAGAGGTCACTTGCCCTCCCCCCCTCAAACCTCAGGCCATCGTCATGAAGATCTATGTTCGAGCGAAGCTTGCTCCTGGATGGAGCCTTGTCCTGCTCTGCATGTCAGGCGATCACCTGGAGGGGGCGAGGCGAGCTGACTGGCGGGGGTAGATCCAAGAGGATTCATGCCATCTACATGCTGAGAATGTTCAACGACGGTGAGACTTACGTCTGATCTTGCGCTCCTCAACCATGAGAGCAGGAGTTGCCATGCTCTTCTTGTTCGCTGCTGTGCACTTCTTCTGCTCCAGGTGAGGAACGCTCCCGTTCGATTATCACTCTCCCTGACCCTCCTCTCTCTTATTCCCTCTCTCTCTCTCCTCGAAAGGAGGTGGAAGCTGGGCTGCGTCCTCTACAGTCTCGCGGTCTCGGTGAAGATGAACATCCTGCTGTTTGCTCCTCCTCTCTTGTACCTCCTGCTCTGCGCGCATGGGGTGACGTCCGAAACCCTCCCGCCCTCCCCTCTCACTCCTCTCTCAGGTCTATGGTGCGATCAGGCACATTGGGATATGCGCTTTAGTTCAGGCTCGTCCTAGTCTTTTTGAGGCCATGACTTCCTCTGACTGTCGAACACAGGTCATCGTTGGACTGCCTTTTCTCCTCTCGGTATCCTGTCTGCCTGCCTGCCTGCCTGCCTGCCTGCCTGCCTGCCTGCCTGGCTGCCTGCCTGCCTGCCTGCCTGCCTGCCTGCCTGCCTGCCTGGCTGCCTGGCTGCCTGGCTGCCTGGCTGCCTGCCTGCCTGCCTGCCTGCCTGCCTGCCTGCCTGGCTGCCTGGCTGCCTGGCTGCCTGGCTGCCTGCCTGGCTGCCTGCCTGCCTGCCTGCCTGCCTGCCTGCCTGCCCGCCCGCCCGCCCGCCCGCCCGCCCGCCCGCCTGCCTGCCTGCCTGGCTGCCTGCCTGCCTGCCTGCCTGCCTGCCTCGCTGCCTGCCTGCCTGGCTGCCTGCCTGCCTGGCTGCCTGCCTGCCTGCCTGCCTGCCTGCCTGCTGTCTATTTTGTGATAGCGAACGGAGCTGATCTCCATTCTCCCAGTATCCCACCTCCTACATCTCCGGCTCGTTCAACTTCTCGCGCGTGTTCCTCCACAGGTGAACTCTCCCCCTCCCCCGCAGCTTGATCAGCTTTGCCTTCCCCTGACAATCTTGGAAAGATGGACTGTCAATTTCAAATTCGTCCCTGAGGAAATCTTCGTCTCAAAATCCTTTGCCGTAGGACTTCCCTCTCCTCCCCCTCCCCTCCTGCTCCTTCTGACGTCCAGCTAGGTTTTCCTCCTCTTCTGCCATCTGTCGACTCTTGCTGTCTTCTACTTCAAGCACCTCAGGTGAGACTTGTCGGGCCCCCGCAAACCTGGTCACGTTCCTTTTCAAGTCGAGCTGCCAAGGAGCGGGTGAGGCTCCACTCGGGCACGGACGATTTCCCAGCTTCTTTCATCTCGATCGTGAGCCCTCTCCTCTCTCTCCATTCGCCCAGCTGCGAGTGAGCTGGCGGCCCTTCCTTTCCCAGGTCCTCTTCACCGGGAACTTCATCGGGATCGTGTTTGCGCGGAGCCTGCACTTCCAGTTCTACACCTGGTGAGACTCTTTCCACCCCCTGCTGGGCTGCAGCTGAAGTTGGAGGCGGCAGGTACTTCCACACCATCCCCGCGCTGCTGTGGAAGACGCAGCTGGACACGGGAGTCAAGTTGGGGCTGTACGCGCTAGTCGAGCTGTCCTTCAACATCACAGAGAGGAAGGGATGCTTTCAAATCCCTGTGGGGCCTGAGTGTGGGTCCTCGACGCCTACAGGTGAGGAGCGGATGATGATGAGGATGATGAGGATGATGAGGATAAGGAGGAGGATGAGGAGGGGGAGGAGGGGGAGGAGCGGGAGGAGCGGGAACGAGGTGAAAGTGAAAAATCGTGTGCAGGAGCGATGATTTTGAGCGCCGTTCACCTCGTGCTCCTGCTCGCGCTGTACTTCACGCCACCATGGAAGGCGCTGCGGCCGAGGGGGAACAAGGAGGATGAGAAGGAGAAGAAGAAGTGAAGCTTATTGTTTAATCTTACATTCAGTCGGGGGGAGGAGGAGAATGAAGATGTTGTAGACTAATCGCTCAGGTCTCCTCCTTGAGGCTCCAGTCGTAGGGCTCGAAGAGCTTCTTGAAGTTCTCGGCCATCCGCTTCTCGTCCTCGATGCCTGCTGATGAGTCACGAGAGGAGGAGGGGGAAGGAGAGAGGGGGAGGGTGTATGTGGGGGCTAGGAGGAGAGAAGAGCTGGAGGAGAGCGAGTTGAGTTGAGTTGAGTTGAGTTGAGTAGAGTAGAGTAGAGTAGGAGTGGAGGATAAGAGGATGAAGAGGAGAGGATGCAAAGAGAGTCAGAGTGGGGAAGGGAGGGGAAAGGGGAGGAGATGAGGGGAGGACGCTCACTGAGCGCGCAGTCCTTCCAGTCTGCTCTCTCCGGCATCCCGAGGAGACGAGCAACAACCTCTCGTGCGAAGTTGAGAGGATGACGAGACCCCTGGGGAACCTGCTGGGTGTCAGCCAGGGACGACAGGGAGGAGGAGGAGGAGGAGGAGAAGGGACAAGACAAGCATGATGAGGATGGGTACTGATCGAGGTCATCCTCCTCACGCCACTGAGCAAGAAGTGAGGAGGGGAGAGAGCATGGATGCAGGCAAGGGGAGGAAGAGGAGGAGGAGGAGGAGGAGGAGATACGTGGAGAGGAAGGAAAGTATCCATGGGGCTGAGAAGAGGGAGGAAGTAGAAGATGCGACTGTGAGTAGAGGAGAAGGAAGTATTGTGGAGGACCATGGGAGAAATGCAGGAAGTTGGCAGGAAATGATGATGATAGAGGAGATGGTGATGATAATAGAGATGATTATAATGATAATGATGCTATGATGATGATGATGATGATGATGCTGATGATGATGATCGTTATAACGTTTGTGGTGTTCGTGATGACAACCTGAGGGTTCTGTACAAACTTGATGTTCAAGCTGTTTCCGCACTTCTCGATGTGCTCCGAGGCCATGGCCTCTGTGCTCTTGGAGATCGGAATGACCTTGGGTGAGGCAGTCAGGCAGATAAACCCGAAACATGTGCGGGAGGAGGAGAGAAGGAGGAGGAAGAAGGAGGGGGCAGCGGAAGGAGAAAGGAGGAGAAGAAGTGTGCATGGGGGAAGGAGGGGGAGAGCGAATTGCGAGGAGGAAGCAGATGGTTTCGAAATTGGCGAAGGGAATAGAGGGAACAACAGGATAGGGTAGGAGGGGGTGAGGGCAGAAAAAGCAAGGGAGACATTCGACTTGCAGCTGACCTGGAAATGACAATGCGACTGTCCTGATCGAACATTCGTTGCTCTCTCGTACATCACCTGCCGTCGAATATCAGGAAATCCCACGACTGCTCCTGCTCCTGCCCCTGCCCCTGCCCCTGCCCCTGCCCCTGCTCCTGCCCCTGCCCCTGCCCCTGCCCCTGCC